GCCAAACGAATCAATCACTCCCCGGATGCACCAGGGAGGGCGGTGGGGGGAACTTGAGATGAAATCGCCGGGCATCACACTCTGCGGAACAAGTCAGCCTGAAGAGAAACATAGAAGGCTTGATTGAGCTGAAAAAAGGCTAGGGAATTTAGCAAAAAGAACAGCGATGATCGATTGTGTCCTTTCCCTTCATATTAATGCTGTAGATTTAGAGAGAGAATGAATGACCGATAACCTCCAAGCATTTAGTATAATGCCTTTTGATTTCTCTTTACAATTAATGATTCATAGGCCAGTTGCTCCCAGAATTAATATTATTTGGTGGTGGTTCTTATTTTCTATAAATTAAAGGTTGCCATGCAAATTATGTATGAGTTTACATTAAATGAACAGTGTCTTCACCAAAATTCTCTTCTTACGCATTTTTGCCTTGATAATTTTGGAGGATCATCTCCCTCAAGCCTTTCAATCTTTGGAGACACCATGACCACTGTCGATGATTGAAAGGCTTGGATGTGTAAGGGTGCCCCAGATCCAAGAAGGGGCCCAGTCAGACACGGCGATTGGTGGTCATGAATCCTCAATCATAAGCTGTGTCTACGGTGGGTCAACCGCCAGGCCAAGAGCAGGGGGGGGCCCAAGTCAGTGAGGGTTTCTTCCAAAGCAAACACCCTCAGCTCGACCCGATCGACCCGATCGCCACGGGGTGACGGACGGTTAAGCCATTGGCATGGCAGTGAAGCACTGGGTGAAGCATGCTTGTTGCTTCATCCCTTGGTGAAGGGGTTTGGTTTTGGAAGGAACTTGGCTTCGAGCACTTCAGGGATACTCTCGTGTCAGATCCTTGGACCAGTGGAAAGTGTCTATAGATCCATACATGGAACAATCACAAGTTTGATGGTCATCACAACCAAACGTCCAAGACAATATCTTATGTGCGGTATTTTCATCTGCAATGAGTTCCCCATCATGCCCAAGAGTTCCCCGTCTTGAATCCACTCGTCCCCCCACATAAGACACATGGGGTCCACCATCGTCAACCTACTTGGCTCCCATGGACCACAACTCCAAAACCCTTCCAATGTTCATCCAACGTCCAATTCATCCTTTTCAGTTGGAAGGGTTTTGGAGTCCATGGACCATGGACCCTTTCCACTACAAAACCCTTCCATGTCCAGTCTGTTTTCATCCTTTTCATGGACCTTTTCATCCTTTTCTTTACTCCCTAAACCCCACACCCCTTGCCAACCCTCCACCCGTTCGCTCCACCAACCCCTAACCACACCGAGCCAACCGAGCCACGCGTGAGCTTCACCTTCGCCGCGCTGGTGCCGGCCCACTCGTTGGCGCCCTTGTACCCGAAGCGTGCGAACTGCACCTGGGGCGCTGCACCGCCGGGAGTTGAGGAGGTTCACGGTTTAAAGAACGTGACACGGACAATGGTCTGATGGTTTAGATGTTGCATTCTGAAATATTCTGAATACAATCACATGAGATCACAATGATGATGTGTTCTATCGAGTTTTCTTTTTGTTTGGCTTTTCGATCACGTTCCAACTTCAGAGCCGAACCAACCTAATTTCTCACCAACCAGGAAGACCCACCAGGCCGACATCCAATGCATCCGTGGGGGACAGCGAGACTTCAACCCCGCCCCACCCCGAAGTCCTGCAAACACCACTTCCCAGCCGGCTCGTCGCTCTCGTCGCTCGCGAGACGACTTCAATGCGGCCAACTTCAGGCTCCAGGGCCGTTCTGACGCGCCACTTCTGGAGATCCCTGACAAAAAATACCAGCTAATCACGAGTGTTTACGTGTTTTGGTGGGGAAACCAATCCCAGCCAAAAGAGGTTGATCTTAAAGGCTATATCAAGTACATCATATATATCAGAGAGCGAGCAAATGACGTACATTTGTTTTTTGGTTTTGCAGTCAATTGCAGCCACTTGTCACTCAAGCAGGTAAACTTACACCTCCTGCGAGCTCAATGATATATATATATATGTATATATTATATGGATAGGCCTTCATTCCCCCGCTCTGCCCCAGTTCGCGCTTTCGCCCATGCCAATCGACGTCTTTCGTCGGTTGGTCCTCCCCAACGAAGCCGAACATGTGCTCCAAGGGGCAATGAGGTAGGGCGGCAGGCTTTCCAGCGTCGAGGTCTTCTCATACTGCGCATTGCGGCCCAAGACCGGGGAGTTCCTGGATGTTGAAGCAAGCAAAGCGTGCAGGTTCTACTACCAGTAGCAGCACGACGGAAGGGCAACGGGGGGGTGTGCAGGTAGATGTTCATGATGTCCTAGTTCTTAGATGTTCTTGGTGGATTGGACGAATAAGTTGGAGAACCTGTTTATGTGCGTTTTTGAGGTTGCCGAGGATACTTTCCACGTAAGTATACAACAACATCTACAACTACAAGTACATCATACTACATCTGCCAAATATCACTCCTTGAGCTTACATCGGCCGAAGCATTTGGACACCTGCTAATTGTTGCTCAGGGTGATCCATGCCTAAGCTCAGAAATGGTCTCTATTTGCTTTGATACTGTACACCTTGAAACTTGTTGAATCTTGTTGCACAACATCTCCCAATATCACCAAATTCAGCACAATCGAAAAACAGAAACACATCACTGCGCTGTTGGAAGGCATAATCCCTGCAGCTGAGACTCTTTTCAATGTGTTCCTTCAAGGAAAGTTGAACCTGGGAAAGGGTCAAGAAGCTCAACTGCACAACGAAACAAATCCCAACCCTTCACTTGAGGACGGACTCCGCAGAAAGCTTGTGCCCAAAACCATCTTGCGGAGCTACGTTCGCTCCTCTTCTTGTGCCGCAGGTCATATGTAGAAACGATGCAAGTTGATCTCAAGGGACTCTGCGCAGCTCTGACACCGTTGGATCCAAACAGCGCACCCTGACACCGGTGTGCCAATTTCAACACATCCGAAGCACCAAGGCCCAACTCCTAATTCCACTATAGTTTTAGCTGGTGTTTGACCCATGGCCATTTGGTGCATGAGCTACGATGACACTTCTCATGAATTATGAGACTGATCAGGAATGATCAAAGACAGTCATATATACAGTTCGAGGCCATCGCTACTAGGGTGGAGGCCATCGCTACTAGGGTGGAGGCCATCACTACTCATTGCAATGCATTCAGGCTCTGAGACCCTGAAACTCATGTCTTTGGTGCCTGAATCTCATCCACCTGACCTCAACATAGACATGGAATACATGGGCCATCTGAAGGGCGGTCCCGGTGTTTCATCAAGGCAGTGGAACAAATAGAACATGTCAGTTGATGAGCCATTGTTAAGGACACAACCCATGCAGCTGGCAGATGTACCAATCAGGCCAGGGGTGGTTTGGGAGGTGGTTTTGTATGGCATATATTCCAGTCCCATGGAGTGTATGGGATTGTTAATGACACCCCACCCTACCACGATTAGCCCTTCCAGTCTTTGCTTCGTGAGTACGTACCTCCACTCAATCCTCAAAAGGCCGCACAAACCCATCTCAAGCCCTGCAGGCAGGGAACCCCTTGAGTGATGTGGGACACCGGCTCCGTCTGAGTACCTCAGCGAAGCATAGCGAAGCCACAGGCGTATTTCAGCGTTAAGTTCACAGGCGTCACCACCAATCATCCTCGTCGGGCGTCCGCTGGGGGTCTGGGACCTGTGAGTGGGAGTTGGACTCTGACCCAAACCAGGCCCAAAGCTCCTCGGACTGGCTGCCTCTCTGTGAGTAGGGAACCAAAACAATCAAGGACTCCGACTCCGCAACCCGTCGAAGTCTCCAGTGCCGTATGGCTGGAGTCGGAGACGGGAGATGCCTCTTGAGCTTCCTACAAATCTCGTTGGGGCACCTGAGTTTTCAAGTTCATCTGCCATGCAGTCCTTCTGTGAAGGGAACTGCCCCAAGAGGCTTCCTGATGAAGAAGGCTTCGCCATCAACACGTTGAACGGAACACCAGTCTCCACCAGCATGTTCCGGCATCAGGCCAGAACCACAGTTGAACCACATAGTGTGATCCATTTTCTTCTTCGTATGTGACCACTGGAAGCATGAACCCTTGTCTGGCTGTTCTTGCTGCGTATGCCTCGAACCAATCAGTTCCCTTCCACATGGAGGGCAAGATCTCGACTGGACTCCCCAAGAGGTGACTTGCCCGTTCTCAGTCGACGACAACAACAACAACACAGCTTGTGGATGGCCGCAACATGCCGCAACTACATCGTTCGCCTGGACTTGGGATGACTTGGGTGGTACGCTGCTTATACTGTGCGATTACTTATCACCGATGGATGGGTTCCTCCCTTCCTTCGTTCCTTCCTTCAAAAAACACCACCGGTAACGGCCCAACATGGCGTAACACCCCCAAAAAAGACACCCATCTACTCCCACCATCTCAAAACACCCTCAGTTTTTCGCCATCGCTTCCAAAGCCATCACGGTGCGGTGCGAGAGACCCAGGTGGCACATCAAAACCCGTGTCAACTCTTCACTCTCCTGGACGGTGAACACACGCGACGACGCACCGGTCCGCACCGGTCGGTCTGGACCGGAAGTGATGAGGGGCACAGAACCTCGGTTGTTCAGGAGGCCCAACCTCACTTCACGATCAAAAAGCGCAGTGATCTGGAGAGCTCTTCACAGTTAGCTCAACAATGTTTACGTAGTTTGGTTAGTTTCAATCTCAAGCCAATCATAGACCTCCGACCGTCCTTAAGGTCCATCCGACCTCCAAACGAGCGAAGCTGCCGTGACCGCCCAGCCCCACGAGTGGGGGCTTCGCTCGGTTTGTCAAAACGACGCAAAACGACGAAGACGTCACATGGAAGTGGATCCAATGATTCAGATTAACTGGATCCAATTGGGAACATGTGGAATGTGTTCCTCTCCCAAATGGGGGTGATGTCTGAGATGTTTGGATATCTTTTTGGGGGATCAAAGGATCGGATTCCACGTGGAGTATGGAGGAGTCAACGAGTTTTCTCCGGGCTCACCGAGCTCCGTGAAACGGAGCAAGGTGAGGATGTGGGCCAGGAGCCCTAGAGCTTGTGAGGGGAAGGCACGCATCAACTGCTGCGCAGCAGGAGTCATCCAAATCGATCAGAGGGATTCAGCCAGCAAGTTGATGCCACATGATCAGGGAGTCTGATGAGGCTGATGGTATCTCGGTCGACTCCTGTGGAGGCTCTTCATCGCATTCCAAGCACTTCAGCGAGGATTTCCTCAGCTTTGCCATCAATTCACCACACGCAGCTAGGTTCCAAGCTTGTGGAAATCTCCGATGAGTTCAGGGATCTGTCTCTTCCTTTCGGGGCTCGTGCCTCCAGCTGGTTTAGGTCCGGACCTCCCTGGCAGCTACCCTAACCACCCTCTATTGAAGGGATCGAACCCTCTATAACTGGGGTTTGTACCCTCAAAACTCAAAACCTGTGTTTTCGAGGGTCCGGTTCCTTAGGGTCCATTTCTTTCCAAAACGGCGAAGAAAACCATGCTCAGCAACTCCGCAGTAGCGCGGATGTCCTCCTGAAACGACTAGAAGAATGTGTGTTGGCTTAGCCCAAGCTTCTAGACGTTCCCCATTGATGGTCGAACCATACCAGCATCCTCCGGTCACCAAGAGGTCAACCGGCCGGGCCCCAACAACTCTATAGGGGAGACCTTTTTGGAGGATGCTGGTAAATGCCTAGCAGCCCTCTTTCAAACTCTCAGCTGATCACAGCAAACCTGCATACAAAGTGAGCCAGGAGCCCCCGTTCGTAGCGTCCATGCTCCTAGTAGCGATACCCTTTGCTCCTAGTAGCTTCTTGTTACTATATATAGTAGTAAGGCCAGGAGCCCCGTTCGTAGCGTCCTTGCTCCTAGTAACGTTCAATTGAGGCTCCTATTTTGACCGATGTCGGCCGTTGGGAAAGAAGAAACACCGCCCTTGGCTTGTTGGACACCGACGCTCCACGCCCGAAGAGATCCGCCCGAATGCCAGGGTGCAGTCGATAGCCAAAAAGTTCGTCCACCCTGAGATCAGCATCTGCTCGAACGAACTCGATGGAGGGTGGAATGGAGTATAAAGATGTATAAAGAAGGACCACTGAAAGGACCAAACCATCCATGAAAACTGGCAGAGTTACTCATCAGGGTCATTTTCATGAGCAAATTGTATGTATAACTAGCATGATGGTCTCTGGGAAAGGTCCAAGATCTTTGCCCAATATTTGTTCTCTGAAAACACAAAAGGAATTTCTCTCCGGGGGAATGAATGAGCCCGCCCCCCCATGCCTTGATGAGTCGCGAGTCAGACCGTAACTCGGTCCCATCGGTCACTGGGTCGGTCGAGATCAGCTTCGGCCCGCCCGAAACGCGTCCGCCGCGGCCTGTTAGAGCTTTCGCTGCTGCCTGGCAGGGTGGTGGCCAATGAGGTGAGCAAACCACGCAGACACTCGTCCGCGTCCTGGGCATTAGCGTCACCAGGCGTGAAATTGGCGAGCAGTGCTTTTTTCCAAGGCAAATGCGTCAGTTCTGGACCCCACGAGTCCCAAGAGCGTTTCTTCTTCAACAAAATTGCCTATCTGCACGAATCCAAAGAAGAGTCATGGGAGAAATTGAGATGTTGCTCATCCCATTGAAGGACTTTGTTGTCTGACCCTCTTCGCAACCAAAAGCAACATAGGTCTCTATAGTACTTGAATCCCCTGCGTGCACTTCCCAACTCCTTTGAAATCAGGGCTACAAGTAGCGGCTCGCCAACACATGCTGAAACACTGAGGTTTAGTAGCAAAACAGTGAGGTCCAAGAGTGCGAGCCAATTCGCCCCATTTGTTTCGGAGCGTTCGGTTGTTGTGAGGGTCTCCATTTCGTCGCCAGCCCTCATGGGCAACCTCTTGTACCCATCTCTGTACCAATCCACTTGGTCGTCCCTTGCCAGGTCGGTCCTGCTGCATATAGGCGCCATTTTGCATCTCTGCAAACCTGCGAAGCCATCGGAAGCCGTCCACTTCACAGTTTGCCAGGGCCCGGCCCGAGAAAAAAGACCGTCGATCCTGATATATGATAAGCTGATGCAAAACGTCTTCAATGGGCTTAGCTCCTTGGCTCCCTGTTGAAAGGAGAAGATGGATACCTCCGGCTCCTTAGCTTTCTCCTAACCAGCAGCTAGTTTGTTGGACAATTAATTATCGATTTTGGGGCCGTGGGTGTCCAAGCTGGAATTTTCCCCGACGACCTGATTGATTAGCTGAGTATAGTCATTAATTAGAAGGCTGGAAGCTCAGAGATGGCGGAAGGGTCTGCTACCCCATCCAAGCCACAAAGCGCTTCAAGTCTGCGCAACATGCTGCATGCAACTACAATGAGTTATGAATAGTTGTGATCTCCAATATATGACCAGCAAGCGCTGCTCCCACCCTCCTTGCTGCTCCACACCACCTGCACCGACCCCAGGAACATCGGCGCCTGGGAAAGCGCTGGCGCAGCGCCATGACGAATTGCATCGGCACCTGGGTCGGGCGCGGTTGTGTTTCCCGGTCTCATTGGCCCAAGAGTGACGCCACCGGTGGGGAGGTCAGCGAACTCTGGAGAAAGAAGGTAAGAAGAAATGCGAAAGAGACTTAGGAACTGTAAATTGAACTTTCCTATCTTGTACCTTGGCCCCCCACTCCGATTTCTTTACCAAAAGCGCTTGCATGGGGAGAACTGCCACGCATCCCCGTGCTCCGCTCCGATGTGCTCAGCTGCTCCGGTGTCCCGGACACTACACGGGACATCCGCCTTGCTTCAGCGATTGGCCAGTGGTTCGGTCATTCCATAAATATCAGCAAGGATCAGCAAGGGGGATCCCCAAAACCGACCGCCCCCAAAAAAATCCGAGCTGCGATGGAGTCGGTCGTGCTGGTGAGTTGTGTGTTCACGCTTCGAAGTTGAGCCGTGAGCACCTGGAAGCTGGGCCGTTGGGCCGAGCGAAGGGCGCGAGTGTGAGTGGTGTCAAGCATGGCTACTTGCTTTGTGGATTGGGTCCTGGGTGGGTGCTGGATGGGACATCTGCTTCAACAAATAGAAACCACAGGGTGAAAAACATGTTGAGAACACATGTATGGGATGGCTATACTTCCTGGTACAGTAAACATTAAACCATATAGGTGCCCTAATGACTTGGAGCCTCTCAAAATGCACTGCTCCTTCGATGGAAGCTTTCTGAGCTGTGTTCATGCACCAACTGGTTCATGCCACAACCGTGATGCATCGACATGGGATGAACCTCCATGGTATCTGGTATCAGCCACAGGTATCCAACAGATTCTCCACCAATGGACAAGGAATGTGTCAATTGTTTTTGATGTCTTGTGCTTGGCATACATGTTTCGCAGGGGTTTTGTACCATCCCGGAAGCTACTGGACCCCATAGTGCCATAGTGTATTTCTTGCCATATGTTGGCTTTTCTTTCCCATCCCAAACACTCCATGTAATCGTGGAATATGTACATTGACCTCTGAAACCACCCCAATGTAGGTATATACCAGGAGTCACAGAGCTCGGGGTAGTGTGGCTCAGTCCCATCCAGTGACTGGATCATGGGCACCCCTATCCTCCAAGTTCGGCACCCGGTCTTGTGACTCCTGGTATATATAATATAGATCTACCAGTCCCATGGTGTGTCTGGATATGTTTCCGGTGCACCAGTCTCATCGACCACCCGAAACCAGCGGGTTCCCCGCCCACTTGTGGAGCTCAGGGCGGTCGGCCAGGGGCCAATAACAAGTGGAATGTTTGGGGGTTCAGCTCTGAACAAACATCTAGATGACACATCTGGATGTATACCAAGGTTCATCGCTCTGAATCAAGCTATACCATGTGCACACACACACACACACACACACGCATTTTCACTCTGAGGCACTAACATGGAAGTGAATGGCATAGGCCCCAAGACCAATTTACTCTACGAACAGGGAGTACCATCCACTTCCATGTGACCCTCTGACTAACACGGAAGTGGAAAACCAGTGGCCCTTTTGGAGGTGTTTGTGAGTCAGGCATTTCGTATGTCTCAACAGCCAGGCATTTCCTTGTCCGTCGCCGAGTGGCTGCGTCGATATCTCGGCCCTGCAGAGTGCCGAGTCGTGCCAAGTGGGTGAGTGGGTGGAGACACCCAGGTGATGAGTTTCATGGCCAAACATATCCATATACTCCAATGGGCTAGATAGTGTCCAATCTACGCATTCTACTCCATGTGATCCATAGGTTAAGTATATGGATCCAACAAAACACCGATATGTAGGTACATATGCCAGACCCACTGCCAGACCCATGGAGTGTCCTGGATTGAATCTTTGATGATTCATCAGATTCTTCAGATCCTGGGGAACCCGAAGAACGTGATGGTTTTCCCATGTTTTCCCCACGATTGGGGTGGGTCATACCGGCTGGTGAGACTAGTGGGGTTGACTGATTAGTGTGCATGGGATGAACTAGACGATGGGGGGATCCTGGTGCCTATCAAGAATTGACATATAATCATGTGAATATAATATGCGATTCTAAAGGCCACACCCAAAGTCCTGGCAGCCAACATCGCTTCTGTTATTCTCTTTTGAACGGTGCAATTACCAGTATGTGCTATTACTATTGCTAGTATGTGTTTCAAACGTGCTTAGACAAACCCAGGTCGATTCAATCTGTTGCAGCACGGTGTCCCCTTCTTCACCTTCCACCTTCACCCGTGCGGGCGCCGCGCGTCGCGCGCGCGCGCGTACGCGGCCGCGGCCTCAGCCGCTGGGGGCTGATAGGCATGGATCGAAGTCCTCAAGTCCGGCAAGTGGTGTAAGCACTGCAGTGTGGCCTCAGGAGAATGAAGAGTGACACAAAGGGTCTTCTCATTTGATCAATAACTGTAGTAGTTGAATTGGTAAAATTTTGCACCTGACTGGCCATGTTCATGTCCGCTCCTCAAACTGGAAGGGATTGGTCTGGATAGTCGTAACCTGCCACACCTGTGGGGTCCGACACCTACCAGACACACCTCTGGGGTCCAACACCGGGAATTGAACGATCCAAACCTAACGAGATAGGTCCCAGCGCAAAGGACAAGCAGTGGAGCGCAACGACCAGAAGTTGACAACTTGTTCGGACCTCGCATGAAACAAACGATAACAAATGTAATTTGTTACAACTCATGATCAACTCCGACGCAATGACTTGAAATATGCTTGCAGCATGAGGATAATCCGCCGACCCCACACCGTGGGGTGAGGCGTGACTGTCGATGTTAGCCTTAGCCTTAAGCCTTAGCCTTAGCCTTAGCCTTAGTCCTTAGCCTTAGACCTAGTCCTTAGCCTTAGACCTAGACCTTACCTCCCCTACCCCTCCGGACCCTTGTTGCAGTTACGAAAAACGCGCCCTGAAAGCGACCTGGATTGTCCAAGAATCTGCCATCCCAATTGATTTACATCTTGGGGCACCTTCTCGACCCGCGCGGGAAAATAAGCACGGTCCAAAATGGTCCCGGGCTCGAATCCCGGGCTGGTCGCGGCATGGTCCCGGCCAATGCCCTTGCTTTTTCGTAGATTTTGTCACGCTTTCTGTTGGTTTATGAGATTTTCAAAGGCTTTTCTGGCATTTTCCTCGGAATGCTCTAGGCTTTCGTCCGGGCGCCGACCCGGGCTCGAATCCCGGGCTGGTCGCGGCATGGTCCTGGCCAATGCCCTTGCTTTTTCGTAGATTTTGTCACGTTTTCTGTTGGTTTATGAGATTGTCAAAGGCTTTTCTGGCATTTTCCTCGGAATGCTCTAGGCTTTGTCTAGATTTTGTTATTTTCCTCGGAATGCTCTAGGCTCTGTCTAGATTTTGTTATATTTTCGGCTGGATGCTTTTCCAAGAAGTTTCCTCGCCGGGAGAAACCGATCGATTCAGCAGACGTCCGGGCGCCGACACTTGTGGCACTTGAATGTCCCCTAGACCATCGGCAGCGCGCTGCGGCCCCACAGGCCGCAGAACCCAACGCGTCACGGGGTTCACGCAAGAGCTGACGTCGGATGGTAAATCGGGAGGTACCCAAAAAGTCGACTTTTTGGGTACCTGCTTTGGTGGTGCTGGGTTGGGTCTAAATTTTGGGCAATGATATCCTTTATGGGGACGAGGGTTCAGCACTACGGGGTTCATGCAAGA